GCCTTTCTAGGAGCCTGGAGAGGGCGAAAATGGCCTTCTCCACCTCCCTGGAGGCCCTCCGGAGACCGGAAATGGCCTGTTTGCCGACTTCCAGTGGCCCCGGAAGGCCCGAAAATCAGCTGGCCGGTGTGTGCATGTGTGCCAGAGCTGAGCTCGCGTGCCCACTGATATGACTCCGCGTGCCACCTGTGGCACGCATGCCATAGGTTCGCCATCATGGGCCTAGGCTGACAGAACAAGTTTATTCTGGTCCTTTCTGGGTCAGAATGTTACACGAGCCCATTTTCAATCTTTTGAATATAAGTATCCTTCACCACAATTTTTAAAAATGATTTGTATTGCACATTTTGTATCACTGAGAGGCTTCTAGTTGCAGGGTGGGTGGGTGACTGTGCAAATTGAAATAATAAATAAATGAATTCACACACAGACACACAGACATACACACAGACACACACACAAACACACATGCACAATAACCAGTAACAATAACAATAAATATTGTAGAACCTCAGCAGGTTCTACAAATGCAACAATATTTGAGTTGCTTTAGGTTTAACCCAGGCATGTTCAAAACAAACAAACACAGCCTTCAAGTATTTTGGGCAGTCTGTATCTTCATAAACCTTTTAACCAACCTTTGTTCTGAAAAGCAGCGTGCCCATTTAAAAAAAAAAATCAATAAAGAAAAAAAAATTCTGCATAAATTGATCATGATTCATTGTAAAAAATGAGAACTGAAACCGCGCATGTGGTGAAGAATTAAATCAACAACATTAAGGACCTGCAACCGTAAAATCTACTGTTTAGTTACTGCTTGTTATTCTTTGGATCTTGTTGGTGTGAGCGTGCAAGGCATACTAAAAAAAAAAAAAAATAGACATTCTGAAACCAATTGCAGGAGATGGCTGACCCCTCTGAACAGCCAAAGAATTGTCTGAAATTATCCGAGTGCCTTTGGCAATCATCATAGAGAAATCAGGGAGGTTGAAGAAAATCTCAAATGGTTATAAGAGCACAAATATTGCATCTTGCCCCTTTTTCTCTTTTAAAAAAGGAGAAAGTAAATCTGTAATGCTGCAGTTCACGCAGGTTCACTTCAATGCCTGGCAAAATCTTTGGGAGGAAAATAGAATTCTGACGTCTGAATTGTCACTATGCATTAGCACAGTGTTTCTCAACCTTGGAAGCTTGAAGATGGGTGGACTTCAACTCCTAGAATCCCCCAGCCAGCGCTGCTGCATTAGCAGATTATGTTGTCCACAATGGACCAATATGCCTGCAGATACCTCCTTTGGGATCCATAACGTTCCCTGACCTCCCCAGCATTGAATTTGGGGTAAAGTCTTTTAATTAAAACAGTTTCAGAGGGAGCTTGACGTACTGCAAAACAAACAACCAGTCGGTAATGACTTATTCCCCAAAAATGCCCTAAGCGCTATGTAAGTTCCATTGGTGTTCTTAGGCAATAAAAAGACAAATGACTATTAAGAAGTAATTAATGTTAACTAATAACAGCAGAGAGAGAACATTAGTCATCAGTTTATTTCAATCAACCTAAACGTAAGGCCCCCCCAAAATAGACAACAGCTACAAAGGAATATCAAGTTTTTAAAATTTCCTGCAAAAATATGCAAAGATCTCAACATCATAGCTATTGTGGGTATGCAAATCATCCCTCCTTAAAGCAGCCATGTCTTCCAAGCACCTTTCCTTAAAGCAGCGAAGCAGCCACGTCCTCAGGCATCATTCCTTAAAGTGATAAAATAGCCCTATTCTTCAGGCACCTCTCCTTAAAGCATTAAAGCAGCCAGATCCTCCAAGCAGCTCTTCTTAAAGTGTTAAAGTAGCCATGTCCCTAAGGCATCATTCCTTAAAGTAGTAAAGCAGCCATGTCCTCCAGGGACCTCTCCTTAAAGCATTAAAGTGGCCAGGTCCTCCAAGCATCTTTCCTTAAAGTATTAAAGTAGCCACGTCCTCAGGCATCATTCCTTAAAGCAGTAAAACAGCCATATTCTCCAGGCACCTCTCCTTAAAGCAGCAGGGTCCTCCAAGCTGCTCATCGTAAAGTGTTAAAGTAGCCATGTCCTCCAGGCACAGTTGCTTCAAAGACTTAGTCAGGGGTTTTTTTGCACAGGTATGGAAAAACATAGCCGTTTTCCTTTGTAACATTTCTGGCAAAGCTGTTGTTTGTATTTGCAGTTAATGGGCAAATGTCAATCAGCCACCCAAGCCTTTGAAAGGATGCAGCTCTTTTAATGCTTTGTAAAAAGGTGCACATTGAAAGCCGTGGTGGTGCAGTGGTTAGAATGTAATACTGCAGGCTACTTCTGCTGACTGCTGGTTGCCAGCAGTTCAGCAGTTTGGATCTCACCAGCTCAAGGTTGACTCAGCCTTCTGAGGTCTGTAAAATGAAGACCCAGATTGTTGGGAACAATATGCTGACACTGTAAACCACTTAAAAAGGGCTGTAAAGCACTGTGAAGCACTATATAAGTCTAAGTGCTATTGCTATTTATACTCTTCAGTCAGTGGTGGGATTCAACCGGTATAACAACCGGTTCGCTGAGTACACGTATGCCAAACATATGTTCTGCGCGCATGCAGTGCATTTGAAAACAGTTCTAAAACTTACCTTCTACTACAGTAAAACAGCTGGTGAGTAAAACAGCTGAGGTGTGGCAATCCGCTCTGCCACACCTATTAGCTGGGCTTTGAACAAAAGAAATAGAGGTCGGTATAGCGCAAGGGCAGATGGGCGGGCCCAGCTGATTGTTGGAGCGAACCGGCTGAATCCCACCCCTGTCTTCAATCAATTATATCCTTAACATACATGCATACCAGGGGTGGGTTCTACTTACCTTTACTACCGGTTCACGACGGGGCATGCGCAGAAGTATTTTGATGATGTCAGGGTCAGTGGGCGGAGCCTCTTGCCGGTTTTACCACCGGTTCTATAGAACCGGTGTGAACCGGGGGCAACCCACCACTGATGCATACCCATTGCATCATTAACTGTTGAGATTCACAACATTGTACAATCAAAATGGAGTGATAAATAGCAAGCCACAGAAAAACAAGGCAGGAGATAAGAAAAAGAAGCTTAGCTAAAGTGAGTTGATTCTATCTTCAGATTTGCTATTATTGTTTTATCTTAGTGTTTACCAAAAGTATCTTAATATTCATCATACACTGCTGGTCTGATAGGGCTGGCGACGGTGCAAAATAGGGCCTGGGTGCTCATGTGACAAGAAGCAATGTTCCACTGCCATGCTTGACATGTTCAAGAATGCAGATCAGTGGTGGGTTCCTCCCGGTTCGGCCCAGTTCTTCCGAGCCAGTAGCGGTGACGATATGACGTCACCGAACCAGTTCTGCCCCCCCGCCCCCCACCCCACCCTCCACATTATTCTTACCTTTTATTTGGCCCCCACCCCCAATCTATTGCTGCCTTCTGAGTCCCAGCTGATGGCTAGAGGGAAAAAAACTTGCCGAGGGCTTCAAAGGGCCTCCCTACAGCTGATCAGTATTAAAAGAAAACAAATGAGTAGACCGGTGCCTGCAAAAATAAATGGGTAGACCCGTGCCTGCAAAAATACATGAGTAGGTCAGTGCCTGCAAAAATAAATGGGTAGACCAGTGCCTGCAAAAATAAATGGGTAGATCCGTACAGCTCTGCAAGCAGTTAAAAGCCTGGTCGACCTTTAGTACCTCTGCTAAATCCTAAATAATTGTCACATGACCATCAAGCCACACCCACAAAATAAGCCACGCCTACAGAACCAGTAGTAAAAAATTTTAGAACCCACCCCGATACAGATGGTAATTTATTTATTTATTTATTTATTTATTTATTTAATTTGTATACCGCCCTTCTCCCAGAAGGGACTCAGGGCGGTGAACAGCCAAAATTAAAAAACATACAAATGCAAAAGTTAAGATAATTAAAAGAATTAAATCACTGGCTACCCAATTTAAAACCCCAAATCCATAAAATTTAAAATCCCAATTAAAAATGCAGAAAGAGAGGAATGAATATCCTCATAAAACAAGCAATAAATAAATAAATATGGACAGATAAAATCTATCATTTCTATCCTTCTGGTATCACAGGGACAAACACGCCGGAGAAAAGGAATATATTGGTATCTGCTCATCAATAGCACAGAGTGAGAACCTTAAAAGGCTTGAGGCAACTTATAGGCACAATGGCTTGCTAAATAAGTGCAGGCCTATTTCAGATGCCTTTGTTTCTCTTTTCTTTGTTTTGAATGGATGGATCAGATATATCCTCCCTCAACAATGGCTTCCATGTCTGTCTTTATTATTATTTGCACAAGAGGGCCTTTGAATGTTCCACTCTGTCAGAGTTTCTAAAGGAGATAAATCTTCTAGCAGTAATCTACCTATTGTATTCCACGACTCACATTGATTGATCATGCATTTGTCTGCCTGTTTATCTTGTAAGGTTACTTAAAAGGTATCCTGATCCTGTTTGCTTTTTTTTTCTTTCCCTTTCTAAGGTGTCTGATGGAGCCCTTTCTATGATGGAACTGTGCTGCGTGATGATAATTTTAAAAAATAAGCTTTTTTGATGCTCCGGTATTGAAATTCTCTAGTGTGGCTCTCTAGTGGCATTCATTCATTCATTGGAGTTAGGGTGTAATAGCCTCTTTCTCCCCACTGTTCCTCATTGAGGGAACACCCCTTGTAAAGGCTCATCAACCAGGCTCCGACAGGGACCAAGATATATGTGAACCCTCAAATGATTTCTGATGTGCCCTCCCTCCAAATAGCACTGAAAAAAATAAAATAAAACGAGGCTTGGCCTGATTAAGAATGACATTAGATTGTGATACTGTAGCAGGGGTGGGTTCTACTTACCTTTACTACTGGTTCCCAACGGTAGTTCGCAAGCGTGCTCTTCTGCGCATGCACAGAAGCATTCTGATGATGTCGGGGTCAGTGGGCGGAGCCTCCCGCCGGTTTTACTACCAGTTCTATAGAACCGGTATGAACCGGGGGCAAACCACCACTGTACTGTAGGCAGACTCACTGGGAGATAGAGGTAATTTATCAATTTCTCCAGGCTGAGTAGAAATTCATCAAGACTTAATATTAAGTGTATGTTTCTTCTTCCCTTCCCTTCCCCTCCCTTTCCTTCCCTCTTCCATTCTAGCCTTTTTTTTTTTTTTTTTTTGCTTATTTGTAAGAAATTAAGGAAGACTGGAGAAAATCTTCTACATTCTGTTTGTTAGCATTTCATTTTCTCATCCTGGAATTCGGTTCTGTGCAGGAAGAGGAATGTGATTGAAATATTTAGTTCCCATGACAACTATTACCTGTCTATTGACACCATTTTGTCATGAATAGCCTCAAGGCAACACCTATCCCTGCTATTTCCCTTTTAGTTGGATGGCCAGAATTCACCTGGCTGTGAGAGATGTTGTGTCTTTCTTCTATAAGTGGTTTTGGGTTGAATGTTGAAAAAAATGAAGCCGAGGGAGATGTTTTTGTACACTGTCAAATAATTTACTAAGATTGTATTACTATTATTCTTCTCTTCCTTACTAATATCTATCTCTTCCCACTTATTACTATAACCATGTGCTTGTATCTTTCAATTTATATTGTTTTTACATGTTTCCTAGTATGATTTGATAGCTTATTAGTAACCTTGACTATCACTAAGTGTTGTATCTTTTTATTCTTGAAGAATCTATTTTATTCTCCTGATGTACACTGAGACCATATTCACCAAAGACAACTGTCCAATCACACTTGGCCAATAAAGAATAGAATAGAATAGAATAGAATAGAATAGAATAGAATAGAATAGGAATAGAATAGAATAGAATAGAATAGAAAGAATAGAATAGAATAGAATAGAATTTTATTGGCCAAGTGTGATTGGACACACAAGGAATTTGTCTTGGTGCATATGCTCTCAGTAGACATAAAAAGAAAAGATACATTTGTCAAGAATCATAAGGTACAACACTTAATGATAGTCATAGGGTACAAATAAGCAATCAGGAAACAATATCAATATAAATCGTAAGGATACAAGCAACAAAATTACAGTCATAGAGTCATAAGTGGAAGGAGATGGGTGATAGGAATGATGAGAAGATTAATAGTAGTGCAGACTTAGTAAATAGTTTGACAGCTTTGAGAGAATTAGTTGTTTAGCAGAGTGATGGCGTTTGGGGAAAAACTGTTCTTGTGTCTAGTTGTTCTGGTGTGCAGTGCTCTATAGCATTGTTTTGAGGGTAGGAGTTGAAACAATTTATGTCCAGGGTGAGAGGGGTCTGTAAATATTTTCACAGCCCTCTTTTTGACTCGTGCAGTATACAAGTCCTCAATGGAAGGCAGGTTGGTAGCCATTGTTTTTTCTGCAGTTCTAATTATCTATTAAGAATTATCTATAAAGAATTCTATTCTAGTGTATTCAAGGAGCCCAGGACAGTATGCATCAAACTTTTCCTGTCTCCAATTTTATCTCCCGAATTTACTTATTTACTCATTAGATTTAAGTTTTCTCTTTCCTTTTAGAACCCAGGATGGCATGCAGACTATTCTCCAATTTTTTCACACGCAACAATTACTGTATATGAGGAAGTTTGAGCTGAGGAATAGCGGCTGGCTAAAGTCATTTGGTGAATTTTTCATGGCTAAAATTTGGTCCAGTTTTTTAAACATAATTTCTTTATTGAAAGATTTACAAACAGCAAAAAATAAAAAATAAACAAATCCCCTAATACAAACTAATAAAAGGTAAAAGGAGAAAAGAGAGAAAAGACAAAAAACAAAAGTGCAGAAAGAGTGAATAAAAAGAAATAAGACGTTTCTGATTTCCTTTGCAGCAACTATCAGTACAATTACAAAATTATTTTACTCTGATTACAAAAGAAAGCTAGCTGTTTTCTATTATGAAGGTTTTTTCCTAATCATTGAAAGCACACGTCATAAGTGATTTTTTCCCCCTTTTTACGCAAAAATAAGAAAATAAAAAAAAAATCTATAAGAGGCTTCCAGTCAACCATAAATGTAGACATTGTTTTTTCTCTAATCAAAGAAGTTAATTTAGCCATCATTGATCTGGCTTTCCAGGAATACATTGTTAATTAAAGCAGAAGCCAAGTAAATATCACATCCTGATACCCAAAAAGCATGGATAAGTTTGAAGCCCTATTTAAAAATGCTTTCTAAATATTAAATGACATATCTTGTCTTTCAGGGCTGGCTCAAAAAGCAGACATAACCTTTACCAGCAAATCAAGATGTTAATATCTGTGGAAAACCAAACGGAGGCAGAAAATCCATCCTGACATTGTTCCCGCGTCTTTAAAAACAAATAACAAGAACAGTATTGTAGGGGTAACAGTAACAGAGTTGGAAGGGACCCCAGAGGTCATCTAGTCCAACCACCTGCTCACACAGGAGACCTGTACTAGGGATTCGAACCGACAAACTGCTGACCTTTCTGATCGACAAGCTCAGTGTCTTAGCCACTGAGCCATCTAGTCAGGAGAAGGAATGGCAGAACTTGGGGTTAGAGTCAAAAGATGAATGAGCCTAGAGTCTCAGCGTAGCTACAAACGCCTCTTGAATTCTGTTGACTCTTACCTAATGCCAAGATATTGCTATTAGTTGAGTAGATTCCTGTGCTTAGGCATGATTAGCAGTGGTGGGATTCAAAATGTTTTACTACTGGTTCTGTGGGTGTGACTTGGTGGGCATGGCAGGAGAAGGATTCTGTAAAATCTCCATTCCCACCCCACTCCAGGAGAAGATTACTGCAAAATCCCCATTTCCTCCCGATCAGCTGGGACTTGGGAGGCAGAGAATAGATGGGGCAGGGCCAGACAGAGGTGGCATTTACTGGTTCTCTGAACTACTCAAAATTTCTACTACCGGTTCTCCAGAACTGGTCATAACCAGCTGAATACCACCTCTGATGATTAGTTATAAATCAATTTAACTGGAACGTCCAGTTATGGTCTTGATCATTTGTGGCTGACATTGTAGATTAATGTCAAGTCAGAAAGACCAGGACCACATGTGAAGTTCCAATTAAACTGATTTATTACCAATCATATCTATGCACAGGGAAATACTCAAATAATGGTTGGCATTATCTTGGTGTTAGATAAGGGTCAACAGAATTCAAGAGGGTTTGGACGTAATCTGCTTGTGGTTATGTAGAGACTCTAGGCTTGTTCCTCTATTCACTCCACTCTCAGGTTCTGCTATTTCTTCTCTTACAAGCATGAGCAATTATCCAGCTGGCTTTTCCACTGTACATATGTTTATAAAAATGTTTCATCCCCTTGTGCCACAGAAGAATTGGCTCTGTCATCCAGATCTATATTCTGTAATACAGTGACATCAATACCACTGTATCAGATCAGTATTTGCTGGTGAGAAGGTGCAACCATGTCACAAAATACATTATTAAAACTTTAAAATACAAATTAAAAAATTAAGGCAAACTCAGAAAAACATTAAAGAAAAGAAAAAATAAAAAGTGCAGAGAAAAAAGGGGGGAGGGAAAGAGAAAAAAAAGATGTATAAGGAATATATATATATATATATATATATATATATATATATATATATATATAAAGAAATGTTTTCCCCCTTCATCAGGACAAATACAATTAATTTTCATAATTTATCATCTTCCCTAACATCTCAACCAATCCTAGCTCTTATATTTTATCTATTGACAAATAACAAAGCCTGATCCTTCAGTCTTAATCAACAAATGTCCATTAAGATTGATCTGAAATAACAATATTTATATTTTAACCTTAAACAATAGAATAGAATAGAATAGAATAGAATAGAATAGAATAGAATAGAATAGAATAGAATAGAATAGAATAGAATAGAATAGAATAGAATTTTATTGGCCAAGTGTGATTGGACACACAAGGAATTTGTCTTGGTGCATATGTTCTTAGTGTACATAAAAGAAAAAAATACCTTCTTCAAGAATCCTAAGGTACAACACTTAATGATAGTCATAGGGTACAAATAAGTAATCAAATCATATTAGGAAACAGTCAATATAAATCGTAAGGATACATGCAACAAAGTTACAGTCATACAGTCATAAGTGGGAGGAGATGGGTGATAGGAACGATGAGAAGATTAATAGTAGTGCAGACTTAGTAAATAGTTTGACAGTGTTGAGGGAATTATTTGTATAGCAGAGTGATGGCATTCAGGAAAAAACTGTCCTTGTGTCTAGTTGTTCTAGGGTGCATTGCTCTATAGCATTGTTTTGAGGGTAGGAGTTGAAACAATTTATGTCCAGGATGCGAGGGGTCTGCAGATATTTTCGCAGCCCTCTTTTTGACTCGTGCAGTATACAGGTCCTCAATGGAAGGCAGGTTGGTAGCCATTGTTTTTTTTTTCTGCAAACAAATTCTGCAAACAAATCGATTTCATATCCTTTTCCTTTACAATGTAAAATTGCAGAAAACACATCTCCTGTTTTATCCTTGGTCTAAAACCATGAAAGAAAAATCCATCACATCTCCACCTCCTGTTTAAAAACAACTCACTCTTATCAGCAACTATGGTGACTACGGGGATTAAAAAGAAAAAGAAAAATTTTTTGGAAAGCGATGAATTCAGTGTGATGGACATGATTTTACTGTAGAGGAAACATCTCAGCACATTGTTCAAGGGTAAGCTATAAGGCTTAACCAATTATTATTTGTGAGATGCCTTGAGATCCTCAGAGGCCGGGGATGAGCTAAATATTATCAAAGCTGTCACTCTTACTATAAATACTTATTTTAACCCCTGGGATGTACATTTCTTCCACAAAAATACCATTTAAAAAAAATAAAATAAAGAAAGCATCGGCCACTCTCCTGCCTGAAGATGGCACTGGAGTCACTCACATGCTCGAATTCAGCTTCAATAGCAGAATATACTTGAATGGGTTGAGAATATGGATTTATCAGTCTGTGCAGTACAGAATCTTCCAGGTACACAAATGGGGGAAATCTCTATTATTAAAATTCATTCAAAGTTTCTTTCCTTCCTTCCTTCCTTCCTTCCTTCCTTCCTTCCTTCCTTCCTTCCTCCCCCCCTCTCTCCCTCCCTCCCTCCCTCCCTCCCTTCCTTCCTTCCCTCCCTCCTTCCCTTCCCCTTCCCCTTCCCCTCCCTCCCTCCATCCCACTCCCCTTCACCTCTCTCCCTCCCCCTTCCCCTTTGCCTCCCTCCCTTCCCCTTCCCCTTCCTCCATCCCTCCCCCTTCCCTTCCCCTCTCTCCCTCCCCCTTCCCCTTCCCCTCCCCCTCCCTCCTCCTTCCCCTCCCTATCCCCCTTCCCCTCCCTCCCTCCCTCACCTCACCTCACCTCACCCCTCCTTCCTGTGTGATCCCTTTTTTATTCCAATTCCGATCTATCTGAAGCAATTTTCTCTGTGGTTCTTCTGAGAGCCCCCAGAATTCTCCACAGATCCACCCATGAAACAATTCACAGAAGAAGGAAATCTCTAGGAAGTGCAGAGCCGAACTGAATGAAAGTCCTATTTTAATTTGGAAATCAAGGCAGTAATTTTGAACGTCTCTAATAGGATTATGTCCCACTTCAAACGGGGAGGTGGGGTTTTTTTCTTCCTGAGGTGTAAACAGGTAGGAGGTTGATGGTATTACATGGCTGAGTTACAACAAAGACTTAAGTCATAACAGTAATTGAATAAAGGTGTAGGGGCGGCATGGCTGTTCCTTCTTTAAAGACTGCTCTTGCTTTAATATATACAAAAAGCAAGAAAGAAGAAAGACAGAGGGGAAAAAAGAGAATATAATTAAACTTTGGCTGCAGGGTGAATATTGATTATTGTTTGCATTATGTAAATAAAGAGCCGGCTCGTAAGAAGAGCTCAAACATATATCATTAATCCAGTAACTCCTTCTTCTAGTGAAACAGACACATCTTGTTTGCTACCAGGCTCCATGCCAGTCACATCCGTAGTTCTTCATATGTTGCTAAATTCCAAATGTTTCATATAAAATTGAGTCACGTCCCCCTCTTTAAACTGTATCACTCTTTTTAAAACTGTTTTTTTAAAACAGACTACTGGCTATTAAACTCAATCGGTGCTATAGGAGGTCAAGTACATATCATATGCGTAGGTGTTCTTTCCATAATTTGACACTTCTGGCATATAGAAATTGGCAGCCAGCTCTTTTTAAATATTTTCCAAGCTGCTGAGTAAACACGAAAACAATCTTTTGTCACATTAATTTGTTTTAAGATCAAAAGAAACATGACCAAGAGGTCTTAATGTATATTAATCATATGTTTACTAAAACGAGGTATCCCAACTCTTCCAAAAAAAATAAATAAAAAAATGACATTTCTCTCTAATGTGGCTGTCTCAAAGAGAAATCTAGTATTTGTGGGGGGTGGGAGTGGGAATGTGATTTGGCTGTTCAATTACCCCTTTCTTGAGAATAAAGAAGAAGAAAACTCGGTTCACATCTGACTTTTCTTAAGGTTATCATATCTATGTGAAAAAATCCAGACCACCTGTATGTAGCAACTCTGTTTTTATTTAACCATGATTTATTGAAGGAAACACAGTCGATCGGATTTTTATAAGGTGCAGAGCAATAAACAAGAAGTTTACTAAATGTCTATGGAGATTCTCAGTCATCCAGGTCATGATTGTCCCAAAGGTGTTTTTTCAAGAGGCAACTGGACTTTCTGGTTTTTCTTCGAAGACGTTTCGCTTGTCTTCAGCCAACATAACATAAGTGTACACTTCAAACCCAAGAATACACTAAGGCAGAAGCTTGTCCACCCCAAGGACAAAATACCCAGACAGAAACTGACAGCTGATCATTTGTGGTATATGCAGTACAAAGCAGTGAGTCATGTGCAGGTCTGTACATTGGGGAAACAAAACAACCACTTCATAAGCACATGACACAACATAGGAGAACAAGCACATCAGGACTAGATTCAGCAGTCCATCTGCATTTAAAAGACACAGGCTACTCTTTTGAAGTCAACAAAGTCCATATTTGGACAGAGAGGATTGCTGGTTTGAAAGAGGAGTTAAAGAGGCCACCTATGTCAAAATTGAACAGCCCTCTCTCAACAGAGGAGTAGGAATATGACATCATCTATCTCCAATCTACAATACAATCCTTTCAACAGTTCCAAGAAGGCTCCACACCCATTTGTACCATTCAGGTGACTCTAATACACATAGTTCTTTGTGTCTGCGCTTACAATAAGACTCAGAGGCCTCCCTTCTGAAAGATTTATGAAGGAGCCACTGCTATCCAGTGTAGAGACACAACTAGGCAAGTTCTTTCCTGTAGAAACTTCTTCAGAAGATATTCTAAAGGTCCTGGAGTTAAAGTAGCAATATATTTCTGGAAAGTTAGCAAGCTCTACTTCTCTAAGGAGAAGACTTACTGAACTCTTGTTTGGGCTTTTACGCTAACAAAGGCCTGGTTAATACTTGGATGGAGATCACCTGAGAATATTAGAGCTGAATCTGAGCCTGAGGTGAAACTAAGTTTAGATTTTAAAACTTTCACTTTTTTTCCTTGCTGGAACAAGATTTGTTCTTTCCTAAAGATGTACATTTGGATAGAGAATGTCAACTGCTAGCAGATTCCATTAACTGTTGCTATGGTCCACGTAACTTTAATAGGTGTCTACATATGCATATTTAAATAGATTGTGCTTATAGCTTTAGTGGGATGTTGGTGATAATTTGTTCTTATTGCCAGAAGCATTGCATTCATCTCTGATGTTGCCCACTGCATTCAGCCTGGATCAGGAGTGAAATCCAGCAGGTTCTGGAGAACCGGTAGCGGAAATTTTGAGTAGTTCGGAGAACCGGCAAATACCACCTCTGGCTGGCCCCAGACTGGGGAGGGAATGGGGATTTTGCAGTATCCTTCCCCTGGAGTGGGGAAGGAATGGGAATTTTGCAGTATCCTTCCTCTGAAGTGGGGAGGGAATGGAGATTTTGCAGTATCCTTTCCCTGCCACGCCACCAAGTCACGCCCACAGAACCAGTAGTAAAAGAATTTGGATTTCACCATTGGCCTGGATCCAATTGGCACAGTGCTATAAAAGTAAAGTTGATCTCATGAACAAGGCATCTGCTCCAGCTTGCCTTAAAAATTATGTAATGTTTAGGCTTTGTTTCAATAATCGTATGCCAACCTGTGGAGTCCTTGGTGATCTCTGAACTTGGTTGTTTATTTGCAGGCATTTTGTTACCCAGCATCATGATGATGTTACCTGGTGGGGAAATGAAAAGTCCTTGATGCTCTCTGAGCTTGATTGTTCACAGGTAGTCCTTGACTTATGGCTTACGACTACAATTGAACCCAACATTTCTTTTGCTAAGCGAGACGGTTGTTAGGTGAGTTTTGCCCTGGTTTATGACCTTTCTTGCCACAGTTGTTAAGTAAATCATTGCAGTTGTTAAATTACTAATACGGCTGTGAAGTGAATCTGGTTTCCCCAATGACTTTGCTCGTCAGAAGGCCGCAAAAGAGAATCACATGACCCCAGAACACAACAAACATCATAGGTATGAGTCAATTGCCAAGCATCTGAATTTTGATCACGTACCCATGGGGATGCTGCAATGGCCCTACAGGTGAAAAGCGGCCATCCGTCACTTTTTTCAGCGCCATTGTAACTTAGAATGGTCACTAGAATGGAACTGTTGTAAGTCGAGGATTACCTGCACCTGCAGATGTTTCGTGACCCACTCAGGTAACATCATCATGCATGACAATGATGCTACCTAGTTGGGTAATGAAATATAACAGTATGTTGTGGCCCGTCAGCGACCTGTGCAGCTAGCAGCTGATTCCGACAGTGAGGAGGCTGGTGTGGTGCTGCACCAGCAGCCTGTGCAGCTGGCACTCGAGTCGCACAATGAGGAGGCTGGAGAAGATGTGGTGCCAGAGGCGGGGATTCAACCAGGGCCTTCAGAACCTCCAGAAGCTCCCATAAGTGAAGAGGAAGAAGAGGAGGAGCCTCTTCTCGATGCACGGGCACGCAGAGCTGCCAAAAGGCAGGAGTGGCTCCTCAGGAGGAGGTCTCCTCCAGAGTAAGGCTTGGGGCTAATTGGCCACTCCCTTAGCCTATTTAAGGAAGGACGACAACTGAGGCAATTTGCAGGGAACAACTTCATTCACTCTCCTTCATGTCTTGATCTTAGTTCTCTGCAATTTGCTTCTGGGCTTTCTGCCAACCATAGTAAGATTATGATTATTTATTCTTTGGATTCTTGTAGGCTGTTAAGAAAGTTAATTAACAGCTTTTGTTTGAAAAAGACTGATTTAATTTAGTAAACTAAGGTTTGTACAGACTTTGTGTGTGCTGCGTTCTTTGGGGTCCGTAGCTGGGGCAGAACACAGTAACAGAGTTGGAAGGCATCTTGGAGGTCATCTAGTCCAACCCCCTGCTCACGCAGGAGACCTGTACTAGGGATTCGAACCGCCGAACTGCCGACCTTTCTGATCAACAAGTTTCAGTGTTTTAACCACTGAGCCACCTAGTCAGGCTATATCCGCAAGTAAACAACCAAGATCAGAGAGCACCAAGATTCCACAGTTCAACCCTAAAGCTACATATAGTCTCTTCTATTGGAATCTTATGCCTTGATGCACCTGCTGTTTGTACCTCCCAGTCTGGCTCGCAGCCCTCAGCTGTAGTTCTTGAGGCACTTTCTATCAGGTATCTGGCAAAGCGGAGATGGCAGGTAATCTATACGTACAGTAAATCGACTTTCACTTTTGCCTTTAGTAA